GTTTCTCACGGCCTTTACCTCCATTAGCTTTATAAGCATCCTCCTTCTCCCATCTTGATAGACAAGCTCCAAAGGAGGATCCTTAGCCGATTCCCTCGCTCAACGAGATCAATCGGCTTTTGCTTTGGTTGGAGAGATTTCAGCTACCCCCCAGTGTCTTTTGGAACTATGATAACTTTGTTGTCCTCTGGAATATCTTCTATTTATAATTCATCAACAACAACCTTATCTTCACTCGAGTGCTCCACATCTATCTCTTGGGTGTTCAAGCTTTGAGCTTTGAGTGAATCGGCTAATGCAAGCCGATTCAAAACATGTTTGCCATCAAGACCAATTGAATCCAATTGGTCTATGTGTTGAGCTTCAGAAAATCTCAATTGTCCTTTATCAATGGCCGATTGGATCACTCGACGAAACACATTGCAATCAGAAGTATTATGATCAGATGAATTATGCCATTTGCAATATGTAAGCTCTTCTAAGTTTTTAATAGATGGCAAAGCATTGTGATCAATTATTCTAATAAAATTATTCTTAAGTAGGATATCAAAGACATGATCACAAAAAGTAAAGTCCAAGGTGTACTTTGATTTCTTGAGCCAATTCTTTTGTGGAGTTGGCTTTAAAGCTAGGCAAACGAATGGATCAGATTTGATATCAATCCATTTGGCCACACCATTGCAATTGCTTCTGGGAAGCTTTGGCTTTGACGAACTACCACTATCGGCCTTGCCATATGGAACAATGTGTTGGCCGATAGAATCTGAATTTATTTTATCATCAACAAGTAAAGTACCTTCCTTAATCGGTCTTTTAAAACTACTAGCAAGAATATCGCTAATAGATGTAGCAATTGAAATAATATGACCAGATTGGGAATTTGGTAAAATACTTGTACCTTGTGCCTTGTTGATCAGACTGGAGAAGTGCATATCATTGATTTGAATGATGTTGCTCTTCATCTCCAGAAACCAATCAACAAAAGGGGTCAAATCACCTGGAAGCACCTCAACAACTGCTAGAATAGAGGAAGTCGGCTAAGCCAACTAGGAAGTTGGCCTAGCCGACTCAGGGTAGGCAGCAATCGGCTCAATCGACTTTGAAGTCAGCTCAGCCGATTCTGAGCAGACAGGTGTCCCTCCTTTGTTGCTTGTAGGGGCATGATCTCCATTAATGATGCGGTAATCACTAGATAAGTGTACAACCCCTTTAGCTCCTGAAAAATCAAGTCTAGCTATTTTCTGGTGCTTTCCATGCTTTTCTATAGCAAGACTTGTTTTTGAAGATGTGATTGATTCAGAAAGGATATTGTGTTGTTCGGCTTTTGTAGCCGAACCTTTACTTACATCCGAATCAATTCTCACTTTACTCACTGTACTAATGGGCAAAGCTTCTTTTTTCATACACATGGCCGATGACTTAGGTGTGATCAGCCTCTTGCTAGTACTCCCAAAGTATTTATTTTTTAAATCTTCGTTTTGCTTCTCAAGACTTATTTCAAACTCTAACATTGCCCTTTTGAAATCAATGTCTGATTGAGAATATCTTGCTGAATTCTTATTGATTTGACTTGAATTACTAGCAACATATGGAGCTGAATCATGAGTATGAATATTTACCCACCTTTCATTGATTTGGCTCGAATTAGGAGCAATATATGAAGTCGAATCGTGAGTATTACCATTAGCATACCTTGCTGAATTTTCATTAATTCGGCTCGAGTTGGGAGTAACATATGAAGCCGAATTATAAATAGGAGCACTGGCATATGGTGCTGAATTTTGAGAGTAATTGGCTAAATAATTAGCGTTGTCATAGCCAATTCTCATTCATCGGCATGTCTTGTGGTGAAACCACATATTGTGAACTTATAGCCGATGAATAAAGATTTACATGTTGTATCTCGCTAGTAGCATTAAAACTCAAAGAATTTCGCAGTTGACATCGGCTCTTGACCACAATATTCATAATTATGATGTGTATAATGTGGAGCATTATCAAAAGTATTGGCCGATGTAACATATCTAGTATCATTATAACTAGCAACACCAACATGAGAGTTCATAGAACTTGCAAAATAATTATTAGAATCATAAGATGCATTTGCATGTTGTACCTCAGGGTAATTGTAGTAGCTTTGTGGTGTCACACCTTGGTACTCCATGATTTAGAACTTGACCGCCTTGCTGAATTTTTCAATAAGCAACGCAACTTGTTGCAAAATCGCAAACGAGATCACAAGGGGTCAAAACTAGATGTGATCGGCATTTTGGGCCAGATGCAACGATAATGGTGAATACAAGAAGAAAAATCAGTGAAGAGTAAGGCTAGGTCAGAGAGATCGGCTATAGGAGATAGCCGAACCAATCTTCCCTAGCGGAGTCACCAAAAAGTGTGTTGATGCCAGAAGTGATCTGAATCACACACCCACCGGGCCTTGGATGCCCGGGCCGCTACGGGCCGAAGAACGCAGCGAGGATATCAATCTTTCACAGTGAAGCATGGAGAGGTTTACAAGCAAACAACCAAAGGATAACCAACGTGCTTACGTGACGAAGAACCGGCTAGTTTTCAGGCAAACTAGCAAAGAAACCGTCGAAGCTTTCGTCCGGGAGGGACCCCGTCAGGGAAAGGACGTCGCCGGGCTGCCCTAGGTTGGCCAGCAAGCCTAGGGTGCCATTCTTGATCGTCGGATCAAGGGATGAATAGCATTGGGGTTGGAGAAGAGGGTAAAAAGGGTTGGAGTAGAGGTAGTAGATTGATTTGTTTGACGATTGGATAGATGGGAACTCAATCGGTCATGATGATCTTATATATATAGAGGAGGGTGGTCTTATCCTAGTAGAAAACCTCTCTAAGACTTATTTTCTAAGTTTCCCATGAGTTTGGAACAATTCGGATCGGAATCCAAAAGGCTAGATCCGAACAGAGTTTTTTTGTTAGGTCTGCCGGAACTCCCGACTTGGGTCGGAACTCCCGATAGTCGGAACTTTCGACCTTTGTCGGAACTCGCGACGTGGGGATTACCCCAGACACCCGAGCAGGTTTCTTCCCGGAAGTCCTGACACCTGTCGGAACTTCCGACAGTCAGAAGTCAAGACTTGGGTCGGAACTCCCGACAACGGAGCATCTTTCTGAGGGCATAACTCCTTCATCCGGACTCCGAATTAGACGTTCTAGATATGTTTTTTGACCAACTCGACGAGAGGAACGCAATGGTGAAATCCGTTTCACATTTTGACAACTTCACAAAATAGACAATTTTGGTTGTCAACAAAAAAAACAATTTCCAGCAGTAGTGACTTGGGGTCAAGCGGGTTCTTAAGGAGGGCAGAATGTCAGGCGTCCTGCTGGGCGTATTAGAGAAGCAGAGGATAGCAGGGGTGAGAAAGAAGGAGCAAGTCCAAGAGCAGGCTGTAGACGAAGCTGACCCAGAAGCAGACATGGGGCCCAAGCAAGTGAAGAAGAAGCCCAATCGGAAGTACTTCATGCCCAACTGGACGGTGGCATAGGAGAGTTCGCCTAGGCCCCGTTCGGCTGGCTGAATTTGGCTGAAAAACATTGTTCCAGCTGAAGTATTGTGAGAGAAAAATATTGTTCCGGCTGAAAAAAAACAAGCTGAATAATGCTGTTTTTTGGGTAAGCCGAACGGGGCCTAAGAGCTAACAGCGAGAGAGGAGAGGAAGGTAACGGATACGGAGAACGGAGAGGTGGTGGCCGACTGCGTCGGGAGCTAGTTGCCCCGATCGTGTAACCAGATCAATCTCTATGCTAAACATTACCGATACACTAAGAGAAGTGATGGAGTGAAATTAGTGGTGGGTTCGTGACATAGAGATCCACTCTTGCATTGTTCCCACGTGTTTATTAGGGTATTTTTTTCTGAACATGGAGTAAGAATATCGAATGCACCTGCCGATCTACTAGTCTAATATATATATATATATATATATATATATATATATATATATATATATATATATATATATATATATATATAGTCTAATAACCAATCACGAAACTGGGGATGGCGAGGTCGCCTGGAAGTTGCCTGCAGTCCTCCATAGGCGTGACTCACGACTCACGATCCCTATCCATTCACATACGTAATAAACTAGTACAGTACTCCACAAATAACAATCGACAAGGCAGAGAGTCGATCTTGTGATAAGTCACCAAGCTGTGTTCACACGTGATCTTCATGCACTACGGTAGTAGGTCCCTGTGTGTCATCGATTCTTGATCAGAGAAATTAAACTGGAAGTGGTCAGTTAAGATTGAACTGATCCCTTGCCTCGGGCAGGTTAACAAATTAAAACAATGCAAGGCCAGATCTCTACCTAATCAATGCAAGACGATATATATGTTTACCGCGATATATGGATCTGTTCAGGCTCCAGCATCATCTCTGTAATATAAAAGCATCTTTAATAGATCCAATGCCATACACGTTGCCACCATCTGCAAGATGCTGATGCCGTGTGGAGGTGGGATCGGAGCTGGCTATTTAAGCGGGCCATGGATACCCTGCCGGTGCAAACCATGCTTGCAAGAGTTCAGTTCTAATTAACAGTAGTAGTCTACCTTTGAACAACAACCTACGTACCTATCGACCGGGCTCGCCGGCGACGAGGAGGATGGCAGCAGGACGGTGGCCGGTGTTGATGCCTTTGGTGCTGCTTGTGTGGATCGTTTGCTGCAACTGTAAGAACTCTCTGTTCTGTTACATCATCTCTAGAGTCTAGACACATTCCAATTTCCAATGAGAAGTAAAGTCGCTTATATATATATATATATATATATATATATATATATATATATATATATATATATATATATATATATATATATATATATATATATAGACTTACTAGTCCATAGCTAGCTACATAATACCGTATTATGTAGCCAGACCAACTTGCGAACTCAAGACCCACCGCAACTCCCGAGCGAGATTGGCTTTGACTCAGGTGGTCCCCCATCCTAATGCATCCATGCATTCATTTAATCCCGAGATTTTTCTCTTTCCTTTCACCGGCCACGAGAACACCAGGTTCGCCGCCCAAGAACGCAGCCACGAAAACACGTTTTGCTTCTTCCTGCTGGAGACGTTCCACCACACGGGACACTGCGACGGCGTCGATCTGATCCTTCCCCGACCGGCGGTGCGCATCATCCTCATGGGATTCCGGCGACCGGCGGCGGCCCTGCCACGGCGGCCTGGCCCCTCGGCGACGCGACCGGCAGCGGCCCTGCTCCTCCGCGCTGCGACCGGAGGCAGCCTCGCTCCCCGTGAAGGCGACGCCGGGCTCAGACGGCCCCTCCCTGTCTTCTCTCGTCATCTCCGGTGCGGCACCTTCCCCGTTGGCCTGTGCGCGTCCTCTTCGTCGACTCGGAACCGTGACCTGGTCACGATGTGATGCATCAGCCTAGTCGTTGGTGGCTCATCGGCCGGACCTGAGGCGAATCGTCTTTGTCGATGCCCGTCGTAAGTGGATGACAGCTCCGTGATAGAGACTGCGTCCTCTCCTTCGGTGAGTGTGACATCTCCTGTTTATTTGTTGATCGGAATCCTTCTCCTATTTATTTGTTGATCCGAATCCGTGAGTATTAAACTGTATTTTTTCCCTATGCCTCCGCTTGATTTATCTCTACTTTCAAATAATTTGTATGGATTTCTCGTAAATATTATTAGTGAAATTCTTGTAAATATTGTTAGTATTGCCGTAAGCACAATTCTCATAAATATTATGTAACTTATACTGAAGTTACAATAATTTCATTCATATGGTATTCAAAATTTGACGTAAAGCATTGTGGAATTACTGTATTTTTTTACTAATATATTGTAACTTAGTTACTGTTATGGTACAAAATTATCGAAAATAACATATCGATCTTTCCAGTAACCAAGTCTGTGTTACGGTAACTGTGTCCACCAATTGACGAGCCTGCATGTAGATGGTTCAACTATCAATTTTTCTTGCTCCCGCAGTTTGAAATAACAAGCTTGCTTTCTTATTTTGCCGGTGAGACCTCCATTTTCACAGTGATGTTTTCTACTTTTCACCCTTGCAGATTGAAATCGATTTGATCTAGAAACCAGAACTGAACTACCGGAATTAATTCTGGTGGTTACTTAGGCCAAGGTTACAGTAAATTCATTTGTTCTTGTTAATGATTTATCATGTATCTTGGTTAGCTTATAATGTAAATCACTGATGTGTTATTCGCTCTAATGTTCATTCACCACAGATGCACGAGAAGGGGCCCAAATTTGGGTCAGAGCTGCACTTCTACTTGCTTTTACCACCCACTGAACGCTGACTAAGAAGCTTCCAGCCCGACCTGAGGCTCACATGGCATGATCTTGATCGTCCCGGAGTCGTTCCAAATGAGTGGACATCATGCTGATGGAAAAAATGGATCGATGTACTGTTTCTATTTTTTCCAAGTTTTTTGAGAAATATGTAATCACTTTCATGCCAATTTTAGCCTAATTATCATTTCCAATATTCTGAAATGTTGTAAGTAGTTTTTTTTTGAGAAATGTAAGTGCTTTCTTATAGCATCTTGATAGGAAGTTGTGGTAATTGTCCAACAAAAATATCATAAATATTGTATTTCTGGTTTATTGCAATTTGACCTCTTTACAGTAATTAGATCCTTTAGAAAATCTTTGACATCTAATTGTGGTAACTCCCTATCCTAAATAAGGTCTCTAGGCACTAAAATTATCGTAATTACTTCATTGTAAATTATTCTCGTCATTTTACCAACTAGTGAGTTGGAACATCAAGACGCCAAATTGTGGCAATTTTACATCCTAATTATAGGCAATATTTTTCTGGTAATATAAACTGCTGCTTGGGATATACAATATAAAATTCTCGTAATTTCAGAAGTTGTGTTCTCGTAATCTTTGAAACAAATACGAGAACTCATTCAAGATTCTATGGATACGTATGTATTCTCGTAAACATTAAACTATTCTCGTAATTTCTGAAGGTGTGGCCGTTTAACGTATATGCATATAGGTCCACGTGAACACCAATGATGCACGCACGTGGCCGTTTACTGTGGACGGAGGCTTATTTTGGTAAGTAGAAAAAAAGTCCGTCGCTAATCAAGGATGCATGAATGTCGCTGATCTATTACTGGGCCTGATTTAACGGAATCATCAGTGTGATGCGCAGCTCCCGTAACTGGGCGAGCCATGCGGATTGGGAGCCGCGGGAGCCAGGAGCTCGGGAGGACCAGGAACCCCGCGCACGTCCGCTGCGTTGTCGCGCCTCGGGTGCGTCGGATGACCCGGCTACAGAATTAGATATTCTGTAGCTGGCTACATATTAGCCTCTCCCTATATATATATATATATATATAATTAATTTGTGATCCAATGCAAACAAAGGGGCGCAAGCCGCATCACCGTATGGCGCTAACATGACGGATCTTATGCATCATGTGAAGTTCTTCGACGAGAACAAAGATGGCATTATTACTATTACGGAGAGTATCAAAGGTGCGTGGTGATGATATAAACAACTCTATTTCTAATTAACTTTGATTGATGACAATATAATACTCCTATATAGACAGCTTTTATTGCGATCGGATGTGACCCTGCCTTCGCGGTTACCGCGGCAACCTCGACCCATGCTGCTTTTGGTCCTTTGACAACGCCCGTACGTACTACGCTCATACTACACATCTCGGTTCCTTAATTTGTCCATTGGGTGTGAATACGTGCATGTATGTACCTGGAGTAGTAGTGCTTATTACCGTGCTATACTGCTTGCTTGTTGTAGCCTGGAAAAATACCGACCACTAACATCCATGTGTCCCACATCCACGGAGCAGTGCATCCAAGTGACACGGGTGCCTATGACAAGAGGGGAAAGTACGTATATATAAACACCTCCATCGTCTCTGCACTTGTAATTAACATGCATGAACATAAGTATCTCTACTTCTAACATTTACGACTATATAAACTGTGTTCCAATTTTTCAGTTTTGTCCCGAAAAAGTTCGATAAGATATTCGAGAAGTTTGCTCGCAGCGAGGAGGACGCCTTGTCGTGGTTGGAGGTAGAGACAATGCTCGTCGCAAACCGGGACTTACTCAAACCTCTCTCATGGTAACTAACTTTTATTGTGCTAAACCTATAACATATCTATATTACCTCTTTTTTTGCGAGGACCTGTCCTTTTCACTTGATGCATTTTTTTCAGGTTTTCTAGATATAGCTAGTAAATAACACAACTCACCATTATTGTTACTTTATTATATATCCTATGATATATACTAATCAAACCAAACTATTTTGGGAGCATTTCTAATAACAACAATTCAAATGAATGATACAATTTTCTCATAGAAGAAAGAATGTATGATAAGAAACCGAAGTACGTAGCTTGGAAAACGCCTCTGCGGCCAAACGACTTTATGAGTTGACTCAGCTAGCGCATTCATGCAGGCCGGCATCTGAGACCGAATGGCAGCTGATCCACTTCCTGGGCAAGGACAGGCACGGGTACCTCCACAAGGACACCGTGAGGGGCATCTATGACGGGACCGTCTTCCCCAAGCTGCGGGACCATAAGATCGACCCTCATCACAGCGACGCATGATGATGCATGGATGTCGATGAGCTCGCCGATCAGTGATGAAGTGAGCAGTGAAGTGTTGTGCTGGTGCAGCAAAATATATTATCATCGGCACTACGTGCACAACCAGTTTAGTTAAGACCGCTCTCTCTGTGCTTTTTTTTCATATGAGACCAGCCAGTTTAGTTTACAATTCATGTATCACCGTGCAAGATTGCACTCCATTTACTTTTTTTTTTTTACTGTGCGCTCGCTTTACTTGGAATAAAACGACAAGGTGTTTCCTTTTTTTTAGGATGTGCTTGGTTCGTGGGACAAATAGAGGTATGAAACCAAGCGAGCCTATTTTTCACAGCGTTTGATTGCGGGACAAACTGGAATGAGTCCATGGCTGTCGCTGTGTGCCTAGGTCTGCCCCCATCGACAGTCGCTCCCGGCTCTGCCATGGCCATCGCCTTGTGCCCAGGTCCGCCGCCCTCTCGATGGCCACTCTCAGTTCCACCCTCTCCAGCGTGGTTCCATGCGCCACGGCTCTGACACCTAACACCCCGGTCCACCCCCGCACGGTCATCCCTGGTAGATCCGCGCCATGGGTGCCGCCGCGAGATCCAGCACGGGGAGATGACGATCTCTAGAAGGAGGTAAGGTATAGAGCACGAAAGATGGGCCCAAAATTGCTATGTGAGGCCCATACATAACTATTGATAATGGTGTCAAAAACAATAACCTGTCCGTCTTCTTAATCCCTCCAACAAAACAAAAAAAAAACGATCCTATCCCCCTAAGACCATCCCATTCTACTAGTCCTCAAACCAAACACATGCTTATTTAAAAAGTCAAAATAGGCAACTATCAAAATTGTAAGCTTGCACTTGTGCGTGTTACAAGTTCTATGGCTGCCAACAACGCATGGCAACTAAAGCCCAGCACCGCACACGTGTGGCCACGAGCAACGCATGGCAAGAAGTTCTTTATTTGGAATGGAGATAGGTCCGGCTGTTTTTTTATAAACCTGAAACCATCCAACATCTCTTCTTTGATTGCTCACATGTCATGTTTTTATGGAGAGCAGTCCATATGGTGTTAGGAATTAAGCCACTCGAAATGCCCATAACTTGTTTAAAGGATGGTACTCTTGGAAAGATAAAAATTTTCGATCACTCTTACTCATTGGTGCAGTGGCCATTTTATGGTCAATCTACATAACAAGGAACAAAGTTGTTTTTTGACAATTGTCGAACCAATTCTCTTTTGCAGGTGTTATTCCTAGGGACCCATTTGCTTCGGTACTGACCCAATTGCAACTGAGGTTCAACAAGCGCTCATGGTGAATGATTGTCAAACTTTGGGGACCGCGGCAATAAGTCTCTTTGCGTCCTATGGATGGCCTTATTTGTTTATATTTGGGTTTTGAGTTGTTTTTCTTACAAGAACTTTGTTTATCCATAGTTGTTAAGTAAGTTGTGATAAGTTGGTCTGACTCCTCTTCAATGACGATGAAGCCGGATACTCTTTCCATTATATAAAAAAAGTACATGTTCAGGTTAGTTTTCTAAATTTTTTATGACTCTTATCTTTTCTTTATTTCTTCTGTCATGTCTTTCTCCAACCCCACAAAACCTAATACACATCCCTTGAGTCGTCATTCTTCACACATACGGGAGAAAATAAGACAAGTGAACATAGAAGAGTGGAGAGGAAGATAAATTCGGGTTTGACCATCGCTTGCCATCGTATATGTTCCTTCTTCAAAAACCAGTTGGACATCTTCTTATATTTGTGTCTTCCCCTCAATTATGTGCTTTTCCTCACTGTTCATGATGGTGATGTCGTGTGTGACGTAGATCAAGTCGGCGAGAGGTGTAGCGGCGAGGATCACCATGAAGGAGAAGGAAATGTGAGGTTAATCTTTGTGGGTCTTCATCATACTTGTTATTAGGCTAAGATCGTGATTTCCCCCCTGGTTTTATAAGAGATCTATGCTAGGGTTTAGTCAATAAGATGGATTAGTGTATGGGATTAGGTTATAATCTTGTAATTAAGTCCAATTATTTTTTTTAGATCATGTAGTGGTTGCTTATATGCTGTTTTATGCACTAAAAATCTTTAAAAATATATGCTAATAATAGTAAACTTTATTAGTTTTGTTTCTTTTAGCATAGAGATCACCTTTATACCCCTTATGCTTTGGGAGACATGACTGTTGTTTGATGATGTAGTTGTGGTGTCGAACTTATGGGCAATTTTAGATGCATTTAGTTTTACAATATCTTAAGCCCAAAATACCATGGAATGATCTACATAAAAGTTGAAAGAAAATCTATAAGCTTTCAAATGGTATAGTATAGGTTGTCAGATGCTCAGTAGAGCTCAAGTTATGCTTATTTTATTGGACTGTTGTTGTTCTATATCGTCAAAAAAATTCTGTTAGTTTGCGCGCTTGTTTTGTGTATCTTAGAAAATTCAAATTCCAAAAGTTATAATGTAACAGTTGTAGATTGTGGAGTTTTGTATCTTCTGACAAATTTTCATAATTTTTGAAAAGTAGTTTTTTGCAGCGAAAATGTGAAGAAATGTTGTTGCGGTAAATCAAGTATTTTGGTTGTTGTTATGGGAAACACGGTGTTGCAAGGTGTAAGAATGCTTTATGTGTTCTTGTGTATGTTTGTATGAGTGTGCTTCTGAGGTGATGATGTATGAACAGGTAGTGCATCTTCGGATCATTCTTAGCTCACGTTCTTGCATCATCGTTTTGAGGCAAGTAATCATGTGACATCCAACCCAGTTAAATTTGGCCCACGGTGGCCCAACATATATGTGTGATTATGGAGGTTTTAGTCCCACCTCTTAGTTATTGAAGGTGGGTTAGACCAATATATAAGGCTTCTATAGTCTATTGGGCCTGCCCGCCGACCACCGCGTAGAGCCCCGCCGGCCGACCGCCCGGGCCGCACACACCCGCACACGCCCGCCGCGCCCGCCCACTCCGACCGCGCCACGAACGCTGACGCGTCACGGCCGCCGGCCGTCCGCTCATATCAAGGTAGGCTCTCTCAATTTCATGTTATTATGATTGTTATTTTAGTTAGGGTTAGTGATTTAGGAAAGTTTGGTTAGTGAATTTGTTAGGATTTGTTAGTGATTTAGGATAGTGATTTAGAATTTGTTAGGATAGTGATTTAGAATTTGTTAGTGATTTAGGATAGTTAAGGTTTGGTTAGGTAGTTAGGGTTTAGGTTACTATTAGTTAGGATTTTGGGTTTAGGGATTGATTTTGGGTTTAGGTTAGGTAGTTTTGGTTATGTAGTTAGGGTTTAGGTTACATTTAGTTAGGATTTTGGGTTTAGGGATTGATTGTCGGTACTTAGTAGTGCGTGATACGGTGATTTGGATGACTTGATGAAGTTTCGTCAAATGCTTATTTTTTCAGTGAAGTTGTTTAATATGTCTGTTAATGTTACTTTGAATATATACATGTGCTTTCATATTGTGTTCGTATTGCATAACAAGTAGTTTAAATTTTGCAATGCTACATAATGTTAATTTGAATATTGTTAATTTGAATACTCTAACCCTTTGTTTATCAATTTGTAACAGGATAGCCCCTCCCACGCAGCACCCGTTGTATCCCATTCTTGAGGTGAAGTACAACGACCAGCACCGAGCACACATTTTGAGTGACACCGACGCACAGGTGGTCTTGCCTACTTTGAGGCTCCGCACGCACACCAGGGCGCACCAGTGGGATGAGCGTTACGCGCCGTATATACGACGTGCCGGCTTCCTCGAGCTTGTCCGTGTTGTCAACTACGGTCTTTCGCCCCTTGACCCAGCGCTACTTACTACAGCTGTAGACAGGTGTGAGTGCCTTCTTTATACGTAAATATTCTTATAACAAATTTGAGTCAACTAACAGTCGTTCTATTCTTATAATAGGTGGAGGCCCGAGTCCCACACGTTCCACCTACCTTGCGGCGAGATGACCTTGACCATGCAGGATGTGAAGGCTATCTTTGGCCTTCGGTTGGGATGACTTCTAGTGACGGGTATAGTTGACAACGATCACTGGAGGGAGCTGGTGGCTCGGTTCACTGGCTTTCTTCCACCAGACGACGAGGTTTCAAAGAAAAATAAGTGAGTAATCCAAGCCTATTTAATACTTGCATTACTTTCCTACAGCCATCGGGTCTCATTTTCTTTGGTGAATTTCAGGAAAAGTTCTGGAGTTTCATCGTCCTGGATCATAGAGTGCTTTGATTACTTGGACCCACAGGCTGAGGATGCTCAGATCGACAGGTTCGCTAGAGTGTGGCTCTGGCACTTTCTTGGTGCTTTCCTTTTTCCAGACGCCTCGGGCAACACCATCAGCCGTGAAAGAACATAGCGGCGTACAGCTGGGGCAGCGTAGTCCTAGCATGGACGTATCGACAGCTATGCGTTGCCTGCCGTTGCCCCTCAAGGTATGCGAACCTTGAGGGTTGCTCCTACCTACTTCAGGTTTGGTGTTGGGAACGATGGCCCGTTGGGAGGCCCCTTAATACTGGTTTACCAGTAAGTACATCAGTTCACTATATTCTTCAATGCAGTTACATATGATGAGATTATTAATGGCTAGTTCATTATCGTGTTCAATGCAGCAATGGAACGGGCAAAATACACTCCCTATAGCTCTGTATATCTGGACGGAGGCAGAGTTTGTTAGAGGGAATATGAGGCGCAAGTACAGGGAGTAGACGGACGATCTCGACGTCCTAACACAGCACCAGGTTACGCTCTCTTTACTATCATACATGTGTCTTGTTCGATGTATACTATATCACAACCTAACTCAATTACGAAATGTTTAGGTGCATTGGTGTCCTTGGGATGCTCCGAAGCTCTAGTACTATCTCAGTCCTATCACTAGGGACGAGTCAGACGAGTATCGCTGCAACATCCCTCTTATTTTCTTCCACGTGGTCGAGATTCACTTGCCTATCAGAGTCTGCAGACAGTTTAGAAGAATAACAGGCTGCCCACCACCG